TTTCTTCCTAAAAAAAGGCGCAGCTAAGCAATGTCAAAGCGCACAAGTAGGTGTTATTTTTGGCGTTCGAATTGTAAATTTTATTTTCTCATTTGACCACTTCTCCAGTTCAAGCTATCATCAGCGTTCTGTTCTCAATCGCCTACAGCTTATTTGCTAAATTTGATTTTTGAATAAAGATACTTCTTTCGTTTTTCCTCTCTAGATTTTATGGTATCTTATTTCAAAGTTTCCACTGCCAGCTTCAATTACCGTAGAATCATGAATTTCCACCGACATTTTTTGTTCCCCCCTGTTACGAGAAATCCCTGTACTGTCAATTCTTTCTTAAAAAAAATATTACAATTTGTAATGACCAGAAAAATAATCATGATTTTAAAATTAAATGTGTGTCAAAGTCGCAAATGATCATTCAACACGCAAATGTATTTAATTTTAAAAGTGTCTTGATTTCCTTCCTTTTTTTGAATGCCATAGAAAATGTTCAATTTTTTTTCTATCAAAATTTAAAAAAAAAATCTTGAACATTTCCTGTTCTTCAATCGTTAAAAAATAAAATGTCCGTGGAAATTTTTATGTGGAATTTTCTTCTCTGTAATGTCCCACGGATGTTCTTTGATGGAACATTCCCAGAATATTCCTAGAATATTCCTAATGTTCTGAACTTGTTTCATTCACACTTTCTCAGAATGTTCTGAGAATATTCCGAGAACATTCTCAGAATATTCTGAGAATGTTCTGGATTTATCAATGAATGTCCTCAGAATATTCTCTGAATATTCCTGTGCTATCTGGGATATTGTCCAACATTAATAGGGGATTGACGGCAGCACAGTCAATCCGCAATTCCTGTTGGACAACTACATTATAGTTGCTTGCAAACGATGTGTATTCAAGTGCCAACTTAGCTGACAACACCTCTACCTCAAGTTAGCAGTATTACTTCTGATAGTTTTACACAAGTTTGTTCTACCTCTTGACCTCTTAACTGACGACACCTCTACCTCAAGTTAGCAGTATTACTTCTGATAGTTTTACACAAGTTTGTCCTACCTCTTGAAGGCATAAAGTTATTTGACCAATTTCATCTACTCTCCACCGTCAACCTTCTCTGGTATTGACTCGTGCAACACTCATGAATCTTTATTCTCGGTTCAAAGTGTTCTCTCCGTTTTAATTGATAGGAGTGGGTATGTAGAGACCTTAAATTAATTCAACAAGAACTAAAGCATTTTGCCATATACTTTGTATCTTTGTAAACTTTATTTGAGAAGAGTTAAACTCCTGTTTGAGGTAACATCTTCAGTGGTAATCTTACTGTATCACTCTCCGCACTGTACGACTGGCTAAATGATCTGCTATAGACTGTTTACACAAGTAAAAGTAGTCAGCAAAAAATCAATTAGTCTCTTAGTGAGTGGTATTATTTTCGGAAGGTTGCTTTTGCAACAATTAAAAACCTGCTCTTCATATTGCAGCTACTTGAAAAAAAGAAGCCCAAAGAATTTTGTTGCCTTCTTCCTAATGTAGATTCCCTCTTTTTACAGATGTAAACACATATCAAAATGGCACCAGAGCCACTAGATATCTCTGAGCATGAGTTGCTCTTCAAAGCAACAGATATCTCTGATCATGAGTTGCCCTTCAAAGCAACCAATTTATCCAAACTCTCCTCCATAGATTTGTCTCAGGTATGAGTTATAAATATTTTTCATCAAGTAAAATCATTTTGTTACTCAATGAGAACTGGAATACTTTATTAGGTAAAATAGCTCATATTTTTTCTGTTCTTTTTTTCTTATATTTTAGTTCAAAACCTGTCAAAGATCTCTCCTAAAATGTCGCAGGCTCAAGAAATTAATTTCAAATTCGGAGTATTGCATTTTAAATTGACAAGTTCTTTTGAACAAACACTTACAGCTTAAACACAGCTTACAGCTTGTAATAATGACTAAGATTATGCATAGTGATGCATCGTACATAAAGGGAAGATGTCCCCTAACTTTTTAGTCCATCGTTTTTTCACCAACATTCCGTAATCTACTTAGCACAACTTTGATATGAGAACATTTTGTTTTTATGGACAAAGAATTAAGTTAAAAGTGTGAACAAAGTTATGTTGAAGCTGTACACCAAAGTGAGAAATCATGTATCTCCATCGCAGTGTTTCAAAATTTCTGCTCCTCCNCAACTAACTTTATGACTATGAAACTTGCGCAGAGTATTCTGCTAATTGTAAGAGTGAAGAAAAATTAAGAAAACTCTCCAGAAGTTATGATGAGGAATTTTCGGAAGAAAACACATAGTATGTCAGGAAGTCTTCAACGTGCAAACAGGGATACCTGGTTTTGCTCTTAGGTCATTGCCATAGTTCTTATACAACAACTTTTCACCACCATATTCCAACATATGAATTACATTTGGACTGCATTTTGCAATTTGGAACTATAGATTCTGGCTCATCTGAAAAAACACTTATGTGCATAGGGAAACCAATAGCACATACGTTGTTTTTAAACCGGGCCAGAAACTATAGTTCCAAATTGCAAAATGCAGTCCATTTCATCATCAATTGATGTTAAATAGCTAAAATAAAAATATTCACCCTGATTTTCAAGATTGAATTTTCCATTTGACTGGTACATTTAAAAAAAAAAAAAAAAAAAAATCAAACCTCGTGAATGAATGCTCTTCAAAGGAGTATTGGGATTTAATTTAAAATGAAGGAAATCATTTCAAAACCAATTTTGCACCAGGAGAAATCATAATCATATTTTGTCAGTCCAACCATATGTACTATTCAAATTTAAACTGGAGGTTGATACCTAAGTTCTGAATGATAAGATTTACATTCTTCTAATGCATTGTTGTCAAACTTCATGCCCATTATCCAAAGGAGGTTGAAAAAAAGTGCCCAGCTTTCATTCATGCAGAATTGATGTCCGTCTTGTGCTCCAGATTTTTGCTTTATAATGTTTGCCAAACTGAAGCAGAGAAATTTTTCAAGGTATTAAGTTAAAATTTGGTGTCAGATTTCAGGAAAAAGCCTTCATGGTGACTTATTTTTTCTGGAACTCACCATCTCTTGAATTTGCAACCTGGCTGCACAATTATTAATGTTAATTTTTGAAGACGCCTCAGAAGAGTGGTCCAGTGTTCCATTTTCTACTTCATGGTTCCATAAGTAAGTGGTTGGTGTGTTGGTGACTGAATATTTAAATTTATTGCAGTCTTCCACAATTTGATAAAAAAAAGCTTTACAGAATAAGGGAAAAGCTTATCAAGGCACTTAAGAGGTGCACCTTAAAAGTCTGCAAGAGAAGCAAAATGTAGGTATTTAGGTATGACAAAGCTGAGAAAAAATGATTTATACTTACTTATTTTGCTCACCTGTTAAATACATTTTTCAGTACCTGGAGGCATACATGAGGAATATTAGAAATCTCTACAATAACTCCTCAGCAGTAAAAAAAAAATGAATTTTGCTGAAGCTGCGATGGTGATTCAGAATTCACTGATTATCTTTGCCAAGAATGTCGACTCAATTTGGGCAAGAGCTATGAGCATACGGCTTGCTTTATCTGCTAACATATAGTAAGTGATCAAAGTATTTTCTCAAGGTCCTAATTCTTTCAGTAGGCGCCAGATGAAGATTCTCCATGTACATCCCACAAACCAAGTTAGGAAAAATATATTGGCAAAACATGGTAGTCTGAGGCGCTTTAAGGCCCTCTCTCATGCCTAGATGTGTCTGCCGTCTGTCATTAATATGATGCAATTGCAGTTCATATCTTCACCAACAGAAAGTATATGAAGCCATATATGCATAGATAGCGGATGTCAAGTTGTTAAGCTTTTAAGCTTTGGGAAAATGACGTTCGAAGTTTTCATAGCTGTGCACCTTTGCGTCTGTACAGCAAATAGGGTTTCGTTAAGAAAATCATTTTAGGCAATAGAGCAAATCTTTTTCTAAAAAATGAGCTCCAGGAATTTAAATTTAAAGCAAATTCCATGGAAGGGCTTGGAAGACAAGGGGGATGAGTGCAGCTTTTGAAAAATTTTAGATATCAATGATTTAAACTAAAACTAATCCTAGAATATATTCTGCGAAGAAGCCACTACCAAAATCCAATTTTTAAGCGTCAAAAACTGAGTTAGAACTTTCTCTCTGCAACAAGGCTCCGTCCTACTTTGAACTTTTCAAAACCTACTCTTGAAATAGCAAAATATGCTCTTAGCCCACTTGTCATCCAAAGCCCTCAATTGAGATGCAGTGATTTTGAAAAAATGACCACATCTCCTGTTCTTACGCAAATCTATTTTTAAGACATAAAATTAACTACTTATCTAATGTAAAAAAGGGAAAGTGCTTTTAATGAATCAACATATGATAATTGTTGAGTTTTTCAATGATTTTTCTAAGGAACTAAGTGTTTGGTAACTTTCAAATTGGACACAAGAGTCAAATTATATTATTGATCTTCTAAAGTAGGGAAAAAATTGGAGAGGGTGCCATCCCACAGATACCTATATGCAACAGTCTTATTTATGTTTATTACTAGATACTTTAATGTGCTTATTTACACTATCATCAAGGGGATCAATGTGCTTTATTAAGATGAACAGCGAATTCCGACGCTCGCTTTTTTTAGGTATAACATGGTTTCATATTTATATCTTAATAGGAAATCATGCAAGAAGTCTGAAACTTGGCACCAACTCTTGAGGGTTCATGGAGGGTTCCATTAAAGAGAGAGCGCAATGCTCAAACTGGTGGATAGGTTGATGCAATGGTTCTATTGAAATGGTTAAATTAAAAACGTAGTTTTCTTTGAGAATTTAGTTAATTTCAAGTCATTTTTTGTTACATTTGTTGAGGATACTCGGTAACCTCTTATTTATTCTTTTCAGCCGAAAAAAAATAACTATGATGAAGATAATGAGGATTGTGATGTTGGAACTGGTGAAGAAGGTGCAAAGCAAAAAGAAAAGGCTAAGAAGAAGAAAAAGTGAACATTTAATGTTGAAGAATTTCAACTCCTTCCTTTTCTCAATACTGGTGAGTGTGAGATTGTATGGCATGTAATCCTTTAACCAAAATTTGGAAATACTTTTTGAAACTGCCTTGACTTGAGATCTCTAACAAAGAAAATTTCAAGGTGTATCACAAATTCTAGCCTCTGTCTTCAGGGTTACATAAAGTAAGGGTGCTAAAAATACCTTATCTGAGTATCGCTACAAACAAGGCAAATCTTGGGTTGAGGGGCAACTTGCGGGAGTGATGACCCCGATTTTTCTCTCTTTTTAGCCCTTGCTGAGTTTTCAAAAGTCTAGAAAACCTGGAAAGTCAGAGAATATACAGTCATCCAGGAAAGACAGGAATTTAGGGAACTCCTGGAAAGTATCGTAAAATTGCGAATTGTGCATCTGCTTAGCAACTTCAGCTAGTGCCACTCGAGAAAGTGGGAACAATTTTGTAGTGTCCTTTTCTGTCAATTAACTGATTGAATTCTCTATTATTCCATCAGTCAAACTGTCTATTCATTGACCCGTTAGATTAACCAGTCAAAGTGTTTGTTGAGCAACCAATCAAATTCTCTGGCAATCAATAAGTTGGATCATCTCTTTCATTGACTAGAAGTCTCTCCATTGAGTAGGCAAATCATTTGTCTATGGACCATTCAACTTTTCTTTTGATCAATCTGTTGAATCTTCTTTCGATCGATAAGTCAAATTTTTTATCAATGGAACTTCCGATCCTAATCAATTTGCCTTGTTTTATTATTTTTCAGATAAAAATATTGATATGAAACTAGACAAGAAAGAGGATAAACTAGCAAAGCAATCAGATAAACTTGTCCTTCCCACCTTGTTGTGAATCAAAAGTAAGGTTAATAAATCGAGATATATTTTCACATCTGAAGGAGTAGCAGTCTGGAAATGGATGAATTCAGGTATAGACAATTGTTTTTCCTCCAATACCAACTTGTATTATTAATAGTAAATGTGTCTTCTATTTCAAAGCAGCCACTGTTAGTAAAAATATCAGGAAAAATTAGGAAAATCGGTCATGAATAAAAAAATTCCGAGTGTGTCAAGCATTCTCCGACTATTTGCAGTTTAGCACATGGAAAAGTGAAACATTTTATTCAGTTCATTACATATGTTGGGTTCTACAATTAGACAATTATCGATTCATTCAGGTAAAAAATCAGGAAAATCCAAAATGTAATTTTAGCAGATACATTGTTTTCCGAAATGTTTTAAAGTCTCACAAAACGTTGATCTTCTGATAAATCCGCAGGAAATTGTCCAACTTAATCTAACTACTTCTTTTATTACACATTTTTTTAACGAATCGCCAGGGTTTTCGGCGTTCTAGAAAACCTGAAAAGTCTTGGACTTCGGCAAGTAGCGCATCAGCTCAGCAACTGCACCCGGTAATAGTTTTAGAGAGCAGAGACAACTTTCAAGTGCCTTTTCTATAATTGAAATCTAAGTGGAAATTTCACGCAAAATTTAACAGCAGTCAGCATAATTCAAAGGAAAAAAATCCAAGAGGTAGTTTTGTCCAAAGATCAGGGAAAAGCAGGGAATCACAAAATTCTGGAGTCAGGAAAAACCCAAAAAAGTCTGGCAAATGAAGCAGTTATGAGATCCCTTTCCACAAAATCATTGAGCCTCGATTTTTAATCTTCAATTTTGTGAGAGTTTATTGATGTTTTTATTGACACCAAAACTATGTTAACGAATCTCCTGCTCTCCTCCAGCTCGTTTTATTTATTCATTTATTTTTTCTAAAAAGTAATTTTCCCAGATTATTCTGTTCATTGAAAGACTTTGGCGATTTTAAGGAAAATCACATTCTTAAGTTTTCACCTTTTTGCTCAGATTTTTCCAAATATTGTCTCAATTTATCGTTCAAGTCAGACACATTAAAATTACCCTAAGCAATCCGTAATTGTTTGTCCTTAGGGTCCATTACCTAGTTCATTTTATTATACGCCACATCTTTTTTCCCCAGATTATTTTGGCCCATTACGAAAAGCGGTTAGCTCTATGAAGATTATGAACCTGAAAATTGGTGTGCGTTTCCTGAAAGAATCATCGAACAAAGTTTTACAGGTACAAAATACATTTGTATCCCTTGAACAGTCGAATCAACCATTATAAAAACAATCTACGTATCTCCTCTTTCTTAAAAACTGTTCCACGCACCTATTTTAATGTCAAATCTTGAAATCATCAACTCTTCGGAATTTAACCTAAGTTGAGAACTTAAAAACTCTTTTGAGCACATAAATAAATGAAAATTAGTAAATTCTTCTAGAGTTGTAAAGAAATGTTTAGGTTAAAGAGTCAAGTTGTTTTTTATACAGCTGATTTTACTGTGTAAGTTTGATCTTGAACTATTTGCTTGAAATAAAATATTTTACGGTAGATGTTCAATCATTGAAGATGAGTGATTTGCCTCCCATTTAGTTTTCTCAAGAATTAAACGCGGTGCATTTTACTTTGTCCGAAAATGATTGTATCAAAGTTTGGAGTTTGGCTGCAATCATGTCCGTGTACAGGAGCGCGCTATCATGTAAAGTTGATTTTTGCAACTGCTGAACTCACAAGATTTTCAAAAAAAAAAAAAAATGTTGTATGATACATTGAACACAAGTATAAAGAATGCATTGAGTGCCTCCACAAATATTGTTCAGTTCTGTGCAGTTTTTTTAAATCATTTTTTCTGCATTTTCACTATGTTATCTATATTAATAAAAGGGCCACTTCACTGACTGATATCTGTATCTCTCGATCGTTTGATCAGGATGTTTCCATTTTTGGCATGAGGGATCCTTGGGGGTCGGTGACGTGAGATAAGCGGTATTTTCCCTAGGGATGCATTCCACCCCGAGTTACACAGGTATGTTAAAGGATTGTACACGATTGTATAAAACGTTATGTTTATTCATTAACTGGAATAAAAGGGAAGATCCATCATCCCTCATCTCTTTGTTTATCCATCATCAATATATCGTTTGATACAAAGCTGACCAAATATACCAATCTGATAAACATTCCCATCTTATTCTAATCATAAGTTACCCTAATTTTTGTAAAAACATCAGTGAAGGTTGCCAATTGTTTTCTACTGTGAACGGTAGAAATAATCCAACAAAAATTGATTCATAACACATCACCCAAGCACAAGATTATTTGGTTATTGAGATAAAAAAGAAAAATTAAATGGTATGTTGATCTATTTTTTTCCTGAAAAATCTATGTTGTAATGTAAAGTTCTCCTCTGTAAATTCCCAGCGTATTTCCAGATTCGACTCTCTAGGTTGTATCCCTTTTCTTGTCCTCACAATGTCAATAAAAATAAATTGAGGTAATTTTTGAACGACTTTCTCAGAGGCTGCTGAGCATCCTGTCAATGAGGAAATTTTCAACAATGACATGAATTACTCGATGATGGACGGACATGATCCTCTGTCCCCGCCTTCTCCAACACCACCACCAACCCCTTCGCCTATGGACCTTCCCATGAACGATTCGCCTGAAAGTTTAAAAGATTCTCAAGAGGAAACTGAGAAAGAATGCGAGTGTCAGCAGAAGTAAGTATAAAACGCTGTATGAACTTTAAGGCATGGGCAAACTTTCTTCGATAAAACATGAATTTATTGGAAAAGCACTTCCTATTTTCGATTTCCACCACCACCCAGTCCATCCAACAAAGAATCAATGCAAGAACTTGCAATCAGGATGGATAAAACACTTCTAATTATAGCAGTAAGAATGAAAAACTGGGAAAAATTAAAATGTTCAGGAGACACCAAAAACTGCACATTAGGTGAAATGGTCAGTATATAAAAGCTTTTTAGTGCCAGAAAAAGTGTATGGAAAGACACTCAAAACGCTAAATTGCATTGGATGCACTGTAAATACGCATAGATGCGCTACTGTGCAGTTTAATGAGTCCCCTGAACATTGACATTTTTCTAAGTTGGCTGGCATTATTTCATCCTCACTGATTTAATTACAGCCCTCAAAGCGAACATAGAGTAAGTATTTTGAAGTGTACATGTTTACTTAGAAAGAAAATATTGCTGGGTTAAAGGAGAATTTTTCCATTACAATTTTTTCATTTAATCATTAGCCTAGTTTACGAAATTTTAACAGGAAAGAACTTTTTTTATCTAACTATAGGAAGCTCTGCAAGGGCCAGCAAAAAGGAGAGTAACCCCAAAAGATCCAAAATGGTGCGGTTATACCGATCCAGAAATTTGTACCCCACAGAGCTCTCAACGCATCCTATAGATTGAGGCTTGTGGCCATCTACCACGCACTCCCTCTAACTCTGAACGATTGGCCAGTGCATCTTGTTCCTGCATCAGTACACGCTGGAAAAAATCAATGTAATAGGCCCTAATGATTTGATGGATTCTACAATTAAAGCAGTACATTTCAGAATTCAGCTTTTATTCAGTTTCAATTCAAAAGTTTCTCAGCAATTCTATTTATTTTTATTTCTGCATGTTCCAGATGGGCAAAGAAAATTTGAATTCCCAAATAAATTGGGAAGCATTGTTGGCCAGTAGAGTGCCAATCAGCTTTGACTTCAACGTCATGGATCATGTACTTGACGGTAACTACACCTATATTCTTGTGGATACCTCTGATTCTTCTTCGCTTCAAAATTTTTCGCAAGATCCACCTTTTCAAGATCCAGTTGTTAAACTTAACAAAACTAGTTTCCCTGCTCTGCCTGTACAAGACTCAATTCTTCAAGATCCAGTTGTTGATCTTACCAAACTTACTTCCTTTAGTCTAATTCTACTGAAAAAAAACGTTTTAACAAAAGACAAATGAAAAAAATGGCCGCGGATGCAGGGTCCAATAAATTAATGAAGCCAAATCCATGCTGTGATAATACTTCCTGTCATAAAAATAGTAAAAGCTTTCTTGAAGAAGATAGGAAAATATTTTTTGTTGAATACCATGGTCTCAAAAACTATAACTCAAAGAAGAATTGGTTGTTAAGTTGTATGAAGCAGGTCCCTGTGAAAAGGCATAGAAAGAACGTTTCTGCAACTTTTTTAGTCAATTTAATTTAAGATTTCATATATCCAAAAATGACAAGTGTGAAAAATGAACTTGAGTGTCGAATTTAGGTGAGGAAAATATTAAAAAAGCAGAAATGGCTACATATAGACAACATCGATCAGAGGTCTCTAGATGCGCCGAAATTTTTGAAAGAGACCAGAATATCTCTTGTCTTGATGATTCCAGTGGAGTAAGGTCACTATGCACATATATCCTATGATCTTCAGAAAGTCCTCAGCACTCCCCATGGGGATAAAATGCTACTGGGATTTTCAAGGAAAGTTTCTGTTTATAATTTTACAGTGTATGAGTGTTAAAAACTCAGGACGGTTTTTGCTTCCTTTGGAATGAGACCGAAAGTAAAAAGGGGGCAAATGAAATTTGCTAGCTTTGTTCCAATATTTAACAGATCTCAATGCTAGGGGCATAGAAAATCTCCTAATGTACTGTGATAATTTCACTGGCCAAAACAAGAATCAGTACTAAATTTTTATGATTCACCATTTTTTGTTGAAAGTTAAGTTTTTAAAAAGAATTCATCTGAATTTTCTTATTGTAGGCCACACATATATGCCTGTAGATGGTATTCATGCCACAACTGAAAATTTTGTTAGAAAGAAAGTAATTTATGCCCCCTCTCAATGGCTCGCTTCAATATCGCTCAGTTGTAAATCTAAACTTCCATACCATACAACATCCTTGACCTTCATTGATTTTTAAGCCTGGGCTGAAACGGAAAAATCTCATAAAATGACTTGTGTGAAAATTAGGAAACAAAATTTAAATTTTTCAAAGGTAAGCTCCGTTGATTTTACAAAAAATCAACCCACTTCTGTTTATTATGGTTACAAAAACCGCACAAGTGAATTTTTTCTCATTGAATCAAAACTTGGCAGTATACCTTTTCAGTCAAAACAGGCCTATAGTGAAAGGTTACCTGTTAGTTTATCGAAATGTAAAGACCTCATGAAATTAGTACAAAAAAAAAAATAATACCAGAAGCATAAGCAAGACCAATCCACACAGGTCTGTCATTGCGCAGCTTTTCTGAAATCCACTCCCCCGCCCGGCCCTAACTCGCAGCACTCAATGCTACGTCACAATGGGTGCTCCCATAAGAAATACATTGTAGGCACTCGATACTACGTCACTGCTCAGTAGAGTTCTAAAACTCGTCCTCGGGAATGACTGACCTGTGTGGATTGGTCTTGAGCATATGCACCTGAGTACGAGGAAATGCCGTATGGAAAAAATGTTATTGACACCCTTCTGGAAATGGATGAAAAAGATGTGGATGAGCCAGAATCCAGTAATTTATAGAGTTCCTAATAAATCGATTCGATGCATCCAATGGGTCAGTTACGCCGGTCACAAACTTGTGTTGATGCTTAATTCATGTAGATTAGCTAGCAATAATGAGATGTGTCCAAACAGCAATTTTCTGTGATCAATACTGACCGAGATATCGCCATTTGAAAAGTCGAGTTTTTGATGTCATCCACCGCGGTGTTGACACCCTTGGTTTCTTCCACCTTGCATTCATCAGTCAGTGTGACGCACATTTGCACTGGTTACTAAACATGAAACTCTGATGAAAGCGAGGTGGAAGAAACCAAGGGTGTCACTACCGCGGTGGATGACGTCGAAGACCCGACTTTTCAAAGAGCGATATCTCGGTTAATATTGAATGTAGAAAGTTGCGGTTTGGACAGATCTTGTTAATTTTAGCTAATCTACAAGGACCGAGCATCAAAACTAGATTCTGTTACCAATGCATCTGACCTATTAACATTATACATAACTTATAAGATATTGTACCAACGTTGTTAAGGATGCTTTTTGATCCTCTCTTAACTGTAATGTTTTATATGTACCTGTTCGTATGTAGATCCGATGCTCTTATGAGGAATTAAAGGCTTTTTTGATGGATGCTTCTTGATCCTTTCATACCTCTGATTTTTTATCAGTACGGTAAACAAACATCAATAATCATTAAACGAACTATGATTAGTATAATATTTTATAATTCCTATTTGTTGAGTACAAATGATGCTTTTATTGGAATTTTTATTATTTTCCTGAGAGTTTCTATTTTCTTTATTAATCCTTACTCTGTTGGAAACTTCGTAGGTAGAAGGCCACAAGTCAACTGTGATACAAATTTTAAAATGCTCACCTCTCTCTGTTGTTTTTATAATTATAACTATGTGTTACCTGTGATCAAATCATTCCAAAAGGGTGTCCTATGAAATTGTTCCTAGCTCTGAAAATCAATAACAGCGCATTTTTGGAAACACGCAGTCATGTTTGTATTTTGATGTGATGCTCCTATGAGGAATCAAGGGCTTTTTTGATGGATGCTTCTTGATCCTTTCTTACCTCTGATTTTTTTATAAGTACAGTGAACAAACGATAATAACCATGAAAATAACTATAATTAGTTTTATGTTTTTTAATCCATTTTGGTTGATTACAAATGATGCTTTTGTTGGAGTTTTTATTATTTTTCTGAGAGTTTTTATCTTCTCAAATGAATCGCATTTTGCAAATAGGAACCAGCGCAATTATGTACAGGGTTGTAAAAATGTTGCTTCCTCTTAAATATTTAAGCAATCTCCTAGAACAGCAAATAGCTTTGGCTTCTGATGGAAAAATTGTTAATTTTAAGGGAAAATAATTGTGTAAATTTTAATACTGTACTTACATTAAGTATGTTTAAGAGAGAAGGAGAAGTTGCACGGTTTTTAAAACACTGTAACAGCGGTGGTTATTTTTTGCTAGATGCGATCCATATATTAATTCTTTCTGTGATGTTTTAATGATCATAACTATGTGTTACCTGTGATCAATTCATTCAAAATGGTTGGTTACTTATTTCTCCTTTCTGTTGGAAGCGTATTATTTGAAGTGATTGCCTGTAGAAAGGCGTATTATTAAACTGTTAGCGCTTTTTTGATGGATACTTTTAGATCTTTTCTTACCTGTAATGTTTTATTTTGTCACCTTCCGGCGAAAGTATCACATGCAACATCCAACGTTTAAAAATTTCCGCTGCCATTTTATTTTCATACAGAGAAATTGTTCAACGAAGCTGTCCGAAATTTTCGCTCGGTGCTACCGATTAAATTCAAAGAAATTTTCCAACAGATTCAACCAACAATTTCTCTGTAAAAGAATTAAATGGAGGCAGAAATTTTTGAATGTTGTATGGCGCTTGTGATACCTTGGCCGGAAGGTGACGAATGTACCTGAGATCGATTCATTCAAAATGGTTGATATTATTTTACTTATTTCACCTTCCTGTCTGACGGTATTATTTGAAGAGATAGCCTGTGGAAGGGCGTATTATAAATTTTTTTTTAAAGTTATTTAATGATAAACTGAAATTTTGTATTCAAACTATAAATCTCTGACTTAATCTACAACTGAAACTCAATTATACAGTAACAGTAACTTCATATAGTGCATTTTATTTTTAGTTCCTTATTGTGTTTAATCTTTTTTTCTAAATCTGAGAGGAATAATTTTTTTTTTATTTTTTGATTTTCGTACCTGCATATTTATAATTTTCGCTGCGTAAAATGCAATCTGCCTTGTGACACTGTTTCTAGCTGTTAATTAAATCATACGTTCTTCTTTGTACTTCTAATAATAAATTCATTTTTGTACAACTATAGTATGTGAAGTTTTTAGTTTTACTGCAAGCCCTCTTTTGCCCTCTGTAAGCTTCTAACTTTCAAAGGTCTTAACTATTTGATTGAAACAAGAAAAGGAGAATAGGAAACAATTTCCAATCTGATTTCTTTAAAATGTGAGATATTTGGAGAGTTAGGCGCAAGTTCAGATTTTGAAAAAAAAATAACTAAACCAAAAGAAGAAAAAAAAGGTTTAAAGATAGCCGTATTGGATGCTCTACTGAAGCTAGTCAAAGTGTGACACTTTTTACAGTTGAACATCAAAGCATCTTTTTTAAGCTACATAATTTATGAATAAAAAACTTCAGGTTCTGAGTTGGGTCATTAGCACATACTCAACGCAACAGTGCAGTGGTAAACGCTGAGAAACCGAAAAAGTCCCGGCTCCGACATTAAAAACGCCTTCAGTTTAATGAAGCGGCTATACGCGCTATGAAGAAGCATCACACGAATTTGACATTTTGACTCATGATAAGGCCTCTCTCAGAAGCCAGAAGTGCAAAATTTAATTGTCTATAAATCGTCAACCGCTTTAGCCTGTGTTAAACAAATTCAATGAACTTTCTATTAAATGAACTTTTATAAAATATCGCATCCGACTGTCATGCAGCATGCTTGATCGGAGGATTTTTTCGGCATTTTGTGACAGTTTCAGACTGTATACTGTATCCTATGAAAATCTCCAAAATTTTACACGTGATTGATGAACTCTAGCGCAATTAATCAGCAAATTATTAAAATTTCTGTCTTAAAATATTCTTCAACAGCCATGACAAGTGGTGACAAGTTGGTAATGGTTGGTAAGCGTTGTTAGCATTTTGTTGGCGTTGTCAATCGGGACAACCTGTTGTTTTGTTTTTGCCCGCCTGATGCAAACCTAACCTCATTGTAGTGTCGTTATCATCTCATTATTCTATGTCGTGGTGAAAACCTTGCTTCAATTTTAAAGCATTTTAAAGTTTCAGTGTTTTTATTCTAAGATCATAAGAAATTTCGATTACTCTTATAAAGTGTTCTAATTTGGAATTCAAGTTTTTAGCAGCAGCTATTAATGCTCATTGGATGATAAACGCCAGTAAGTATGCATGAGTTATTCAACACTCCACTGCTTCGCAAGTTATTTGATCAATGAAGTACAGTTCTAATATTCCTCCTGATTTGAATGAAAGGCAAAACGTTCAACCTACAGAATCGATTGGAGAGATTTTCCTCAAAGCCCTTTCTAATATGTAGTACAGGAAACCTCATGGCAGAAAGTCTGCAGATCACCCAAAGTTATCATTGCTCTTCGCAGACTTGCACATCATTTGAATGATTCGCAGTTTTCGTACCATCTCCTCCAATGTTCAAAATGTAAATTGTGTCCTTTGTTGCAGGGGTGACTCTTTTTAGGCATCACTCTTTTTATATCCAAATCCAAGAAGTTATGACAGGTCCTTGAATTGTGTCGCCTCCTTGGAAAAAATCAAATTGATTCTTTGACATCAATATTTTCTCCAACATCATCATCACAGTTTGGTCCAACAGATTATTCTAAATTGCCGGTACAATCCAGGTAAATTTAGGTGTGTAAGAGCGAATTATTACCTCAAAATACCATTCGAGTCCATGCCAAGTAAATCTACGCACTTTTAGACTGCAACAGATGATCAACCACCTTGCTTCTTGCATTTACTTTACGTGTAGTAGTGACGTCTGGCAATCTTCTGTCGCAGTCTAAAAGTGAGGAAAACTTACTTGGTATGGACTCTGTAATTGTGAAAAGACATCTGATAAGTATGACATTTTATTGCTTACATTGTGGAACTATTTTCAGTTTCTAGGGGTTCCTCTCTTCTCTCCCTATTCTTCGTAACTATTTAATATGATGAAGCCAAAATGTTTAAGGATATGGTTGAAGGCTCAGGTTTGCCCAGAAACAAAGTTACCTCCTTCCCAGTCCCATAATCGATTACTTGGTCAATCTACATCTCATCTATGCATGGGCAGTTTGGCTTTTCTTTCTGCTTGCCTCATTTGGGGATATAAATCCCCCTGGTTCTTATCTTGATCCGGATTGATCTATACTCTCTCATTTTTTTGGTACCTCTTGAAACTCATTGTCATCACCTGTATTTAGAGTAAAAGAAGAATGTAAATAAGTCAGCTAGAAGTGACGAAATACTGTCCAAAAAGCACCAATATTTAAATAACTGAAACCGAAAAATAGTGTTATTTCTTTTCTGCATAAGAGTAATTTATACTTTTGGGCCCCGTTAGATGCCAGTTGCTGTGTTTTCTCTTGAATCAAGACTCAGCTCTCAACGCAGTCTGTAGAAGTACCATCAAATCATGATCTGCACACTCCAGTCATTCTCTGCATTTCCTGTAGAAGACGTTCTTCCTGTTTGCGAACTTGATGGCAAAGTTCAATATGTGGACGTAAATAATGTTCAGCTCAGCATATTTACAAATGTTGTAAGTATCAGCTTGTTTCAGATTTTCAAGAAACGATATGTAATACATTGGGGTGAAAATGATAGAACGATAGAAGGAAAGAAGTTGCTGTACTATGCAGTAGTAGGGGCGGTGCTAAACCACTGTACAACGTTATTATTTGAAGCGGGGAAAGGGGTAATAGAAAGGTTACAAGTGGGGCAAAATAATGCAATGAGGTACATATTGATAAGGGGAAGAGAGGAAAATATTGGAGTAATGTTGAACGAATTGGAGTGGTTATGTATTGAATTATTTGTTAAATACAGGGTTTTTATATTTATCTATAAAATAAAGAAGGGACACATAAGAGGGGTGGATAGAGGAATAAAAGAACTTATGGAGTGTGAAAATGATAAAGGAATAAGACTGGGGGATAAAGTGTGGGCATATCATGAAAAGGGATCGGTAGACAAAATAATTTTCTACAAAGGAGTGAGGGAGAATAATAAATTCAAGTGCTACAAATTAGAAGAACTGGGGTTGGGTGCGTTTAAGAGGAATTTACTATTTAAATTGAGGGTGTATCAAAATGACAATTGGGGCGAAGGTAGATTATTGAGGGAGGCAGACAGGAAAGTAATCTAATAAAGGATAAGATAGGCAAGTATAGAACTGAATGGGATTAGCCGATAGGCTACTTGAATCAAAAAAAAAAAAAAAAAATGTACTCTGTAGGTATTACGCACCCCATTCTCAGGTGCTACCATTCCGTTTTATTTTCTTATTTCTAAGGCAAGCATTATGCCTACTCAGCTTTATTTTTTGAAGTGCTAAGATCACAATAATTGTCATTTCTAAACCAAATCTCTTTTTTTAAACTGTGAAAACTTTTTGCGCGAGTTGTGTCCTATGCCTTCCCTGGTTTGAGAAAATTTCACCAAAATTGGACCTGTCAAATTAGCTACCTACTTCTTTAAGAAGTCTCATAGTTTTTTAAGTCCCCAAAATTAAAGTAAATGGGGAAAAGAAATTGAAATGTAAAAAAAGATAATATCAATCGTATTGGGGTGGGTCGGCGATGCCATCCATGCCACCTGAAAACAGGGAGAAGGGTGAAGCCGCCTGGTATGGCAACTAGAAATGACGCAACTTGTGCTTGAATGGGCATGGTACAGATGTTTACGGTTGCGTCAACTGTTACTGTAAACATCGGCGACTATATGAGATGCTCTGATGTCACCAAAACTAGGTGTCCTCGTCGATGCGTACATCTTGACTTCACCGGAACTAGACGTCCCTGTGAATTCTCGCTGCTTCGTCTCTCAAGACTGGTCTTCTAGGATGGACTCATAGGAGGTATGCCCAGTGGTCAGTCAGCGTATCTTTTTATTGTCGCCGATATTTTCAGTTATGGTTGACGCAACCGTGAACATCTGTACTGCAACCATGCAAGCACACGTTGTGTCATCCCCTAGCTGCCATACCGGGCGGTTTCACCCTAAACCCCCTGTTTTCAGGTGGCATGGATGGCGTCGCCGACCCACCATAGTATTTAAAAAAAAATTGCAATACTTTCGATACTTCCAGTAAAATACAAGGGGTGTCAGAAAAGTAACGTTTGGTCTATTTTCGAAAACCATTGAGAATTTCAAGCTGCAGTTTCTGGAAGTTGGTAGTTTTGAAGACCCCAAATCGAGTTACCTTGATCAAAATTTCGCTTTTCTAGGTACAGTAACTTTTTGGGGGAGAGGAAAAAAAGGAATTCTCTGTAATTTTTAGGTTATTTTTTTTTATTCACACTTCACTCGGTAGAGTTCATGCCAAAGAAGTTTACGCACTTCTAGACTGCGTTAGATCATCGTCTGACGTCACTTTTCCTTATAAAGTAAGTGCAAGAATCCAGTTGGCGGATATTTTGCCGCAATCTAAAAGTGGGTAAACTTATTTAGCGTGGACTCTAGTATGACTACAGCATTGCATATAAAATTGGCTTGGTATCTTCTAGATTTATGCTCCCATTTTTCTGAAAGTGTCTAAGAAACTGCAGAATTTTATTTGAAAGCTCAGTGGATTCAAAATTGTTTTGAAGTTTACCACCAGCCCCAATTTTCTAGGCTGGAAGATGCTATCTAGCTGACTTCTTGACCTTTGATAAAGTTTACATACTTTTTCTTTTATTGTTACAGTGTAGCAATCATCCAGTAATAAATATTTCACGAGAATCAATACATGTAGCCAGGCAAGAAACCCACTCCTCATCTACTCTTTTTCTACCGGAGAATAACAGCCTTTGGAAAAAACTTCAAGTAACTTGGTAAATTTAAAGACTTTCATATTTGCTTTTATTTTGATAAATTATTCAATTGCTCAGCTGATAATTACTTAAAATTCTGTCCACCAGATTGGAAAACAGGAATCAAGCTCGAAAACCAAGTCTATTGTACCAATGTTCATTCATGGGTGAGCTTTTGTGCTTATTCTTTTCCTCTTCAGTACGAAGTGATTCTTGGATAAATCTTAGAGAAAAAAGATTATTTTAATGGTGAACATGAAAAAACGTATTATTGCAATGCAGTGTTTCAAAGTTTCTGTAAATTGTCAAATTTTTTATAAGAGAACATTTCAACCTGATATTTTTGCTGTTCGTCCTCCATTCACAGAATGAAATTCTATTTTAATGCTTCTATTCACGTTTTGCTTATTACACTCATTCATCAGATGTATTCTCTTCAAAGGTATGAGCATGGTGCATTGGATTCTCTTCAGATTTTAATTTCTGCTCCTGAGTGTCCACCACTATTACGGAATGTAACAAGAAAAATAGTCTCTTTTCTAATGGCTGCAAATTCAATAGTCCCCATCATCCGTAAGAAGGTATGTCTATGTAAACTTTTTGTTGTTCAACATTACCATGTTTCGTGATGATTCTGGATTTATCAGATGTTAAAGGTACTTAAACTATCCTTTTTTTCCCTTCTTTCCCCCTCATCCTACTCTCTAGATAAAGAAAAAAAAATCTTAGATTTGATTCAAGAAGGAATCACAGTTACCATGATAATTTGGTTCTGCAAACGAAGTACCAAAATGACAAAGGACAGCTTGGTGAAACGGTCCAACCTGTTTTGTATGTAAATGTTCGCAGTTGTAAAATTGTGATGTCAAAATAAAGAGTCGTTTGTGAGGCTTAATACAAGTTCTAGGGTTAGCAAATATAGATAGAAAGTCCATGCTTGACTCACATTTGGACATTATTTTGCAATTTGGAACCACAATTTCAGGCTCCATAAAAACACCCAACTGCTTAGAGAACCTTATGGCATGTATGCTGTTTTTAACATGAGCCAGAAATTGCAGTTCCTAATTGCAAAATGCAGTCCAGTCCATTTCTAACTTGTCACTCGCGTCTCCAAAATCTTATGAGTCCAGCAATGATCACAGTAGAAGCAAATGGAATGCTGCAGAATTTTGAATATGGTCTCCCAACAATTCACTCATTTCAATTCTCTTCATTCAATGCCAAACCTCTGAAAAGTGCCTTCATTTACATCGATCATCCAGGTAGCAGAAGATGGCAATAGTTTCAAAAGCTTCCTCTTTCCTCAAAAGTGGTAGCCAGTGCGATTAACTCTTCTTGCTTTTTTCTGTTTAGGAAAATGAACTTTCCTCTCTGCCAAAATACACACAAACCAGAGAGTGGAAGACTAGTTTAATCAGAGCTCTAGCGTGGCATCCGCACTGTACCAAAATCGCAGTTTGTTCAAATGATGACTCCGTCCGAGTGTTTTATGCCAATTCTTCACACACTCCAGTTATCAAACATCAGCGTCAGAGAAATGTTACTTGTTTAGCCTGGAGGTTGGTATCCACTTAATATTCCAGGAATGAGCCAACTAGATGTCGTTTAAGCAGAGTGAAAAAACTGTCCTGGAAGGTTCTCTTGGTGGAGTTTCTTGTGTTCTTGGTGTGTACTGTGATTACTGGAGATCACTGTGAGCCAGAAAACTGGAAGGAAGCTGTCTTTTAAAGGGCAAAATTTGTATTTCTAGATGGATGGAGAAAATTGAGATTGATGAAATTGATGAAACCTTCATTTGATTCTCAAAATAGTGATACAATATGGTATTTAAAATATCAGTATGACACCAAATTGATAGTCGGTACAGCGGAGCTATTTTGTTTATTCCAATTCACACTGCTTTGACAATAGTTTGGCGTTAAGTTACTATGTGTCATCCTGGTGTTAACAATTAGGTAGAAGTACATTAATTTTCTTTTTCCATATCGGCTCATATCCGAACACTCATAATTTTGTTGAAAGCAGGAATGAGTTACAATCTTCATACCGAATGGTAATATACAAATATTGGATTGCATTTTGTGTAAGTGATCAACATATAAAAAAACAGAATAAATTGGACACATTTCTATCAAACAGAACTAAGCGCCATAGGGGGAAAAAGGGAGAGGGGGGGGGCTTGGATTGGCAGGTGTTGCGGAACGCGATGCTTGTTCCGTCCGATGCTAGGAATGCTTTTCCATGGCGCTTAGTTCCGTTTAACAGAAATACGTCCAATTGTCACACCATAACACCCTATTTTTTTGGAAATGGATCAGTTTATTTTTCAGTCATCGGATGCATTTCGGGCCATAATCCACCCATCTTCAACAAATAAAATGAAAAAAAAAAAATTTAACACAATAGAATCAAAATTTCACAGAATATAAAAATTTCCTAAGACTGTAATTCTATCGTGCTATAATTTTTTAATTTATTTTATTTGTTGAAGCTGGAAGGATTTTAGCCTGAAGTGCATTTAATGACTGATAAGTACACTGATCCTTTAAAATAATACTGTGTTTGTGATGGTGCGACAATTCATCCTAATCTTTTAATAACAATGTACGTATTTAAATCTTGATCACATACCCGTTTTTCAGTAATTCACATACCAAAAATTTCACTCCTATATGATTCATTTTACTTCATCGGGAATGCTTTTTAAAGTACCTCTACTGATGTATTTCTTGTTGTGATTTCTACTTCATAAAGTTAGGAGATGTCGATGTTGAAGCATTATTTTTATGATTTTATCTTGCAGACCACTCAGTAGTTCTGAGTTAGCCATCGGCTGTTCAGCAGGTATTTGCCTCTGGACTATAGATCCCATGTCAACTATGACTCGTCCCTCCTCATCCTGTCTGGTAGTTTTGTCCAATCCAAACCATGTTAATGTTACAAGTCTGTCCTGGCACTCTGAGGTAAACAATGTTTTCGCTGCACAAACTCTTATCATTTTCTCTCACTCTTTATCGAATAGTTTTCAATTAAGAATTCATCGTTGGGATACAAATTTTGTGCTGACTCACTTGGAAAATCGGGTCGTGCCAGCATTTTTTTCACATCGCATTTATGGGAAAGAGATGCGGGCCAGGGGAAAAAAGTTGGTCAATAAGGGTGTCAACAAATCAAACTACTACTGTTTCCAAGCATATTCTTGAAGTTTGCTCCGAAAGGAACACCAATTGCACCCAAAAAATATTTGAAAAATTGATGTTTTTCGTGCTACTGGTATGTACAAGCTGTTCTTCAAATTTACTGGTTGTCACAATAGTTCCCAACAAATCTAGTGAATTAAACTTTTACTGAATCTGTTTCTGAAGTTGACTTGCACTTCCAAATTCAAAGCTTAACTTTTTTAAGCCAAATTAAAACCTAATATGAAAAATGATCTTTTCTTTATTTCATTGTCTGCGAAGTAAAAATTGTACTATTTCCGTCTGGAGATGAAACTGAAGATAAAATTATTTTCGCCTCACTTTTTTGCATGTCATGCTCTCTATTTAGCTTGGATGAATGTTGCAGAACCTTTTCTATTTCTTCACCTTTTAACTGATCAACCTATGCTCTATTCCAGTAGAGGAATATTTTTTTATTTTACAATCCTGAAGTATTTGATAATTATTTGCAGGGTAAATTACTGATCTCAGGATCAGCTTTCGACAAAATCATGTATGTCTGGAATGTAGATTCTCAAGAAGGAGTACCTCTGTGGCGACTAGGAGGTGGCGGAGTTTCTCTTGTTTCGTATTCACCATCAAATGACCGAGTATTTGCTGCTACAACAAATATTGTCTTTAGGTAGGTCACTCAATTCATCACATATTTCGACTTCAATTCATTCATCGTAGAACACGGGGGTGCAGGAACTTCCTGATTTACACAGCTGCTCGCAAGATCAATGTAAAGGCTGTGAATATTGGGGAAGTCAATTTCAGAAGCTTCAAAATCGCGCATTTTTTCGAAAATCACTGTGAAATTCACATGTGCTTCGTAGAAGTTTAGAGAAATTTGCATGTTTTTTGTTGAACTGTGGAGAATTTTGCATGTCCTCTCTGAATCTCACCAATTTGTGAATGAAGAACAAAGAAAAGGTCATGGCTTTGAAAGATTTGGGATTAAAACGAGAGGGCAAAGAATTTTTTGCATCTCTGATGGAACGTAGTCATCAGTTCATAACTCGCATTAGCAGCAGGGGGTAAAACTTTTTAACATAACAGCTAGTCTGTTTCAACTTAGTTTGCGACAAAAGAATAAAGGCTCTGAGAAGGAGTCTTAAGATATGAAGATAACAAGGTGTTTTTTTTTTTTAAATATGCTTAGTAGTTCCTTGCAGCTCTCTTCTCGATAATCGATGCGGTTAAGAGTATTTTTTTTGTTTTTTCGTATCGATAGTACTTTTTTCACTTAAAGAACGGTGCTTTTGATGTTTTTATTTAAACTCTTAATTTCCTTTCAATGTAAGTAATAGCATAAAAATGAAGAATTGTGTCTCTTTATCCATATTATTTCTCATTGAATTTACACTATCATCGTTCCCAGGATTTGGAATACAGAAGAATGGCAATGTGATCGGTGGTCGATGTCATCGGGGCATGTGAACAATGCATGTTGGTCGCCATGTGGTTCCGTTGTTCTTTTCACAACTACAACAGAAGCTGCCATCTATGCTCTGACTTTTTCTCCTCACTACTCATTGTTTGATACTCCTTCTACGGAAGACAAAAAGAGCGCAGTCATCGTAGCTGATCTGACTCCTATCGAACTAGTGTCTGGGGAAAGGCAAGTATTTCAAAAAAAATTTTTTTTTTTTTTAGCTGTTGCCAGGTATATTTCTAACAGTCTCAATTGTTTTGTTAAAAAAATTTTAGAAAATTATGATCAATTTGTCTGAAGATAAATATTCTCAAAGATAGAAAGTAAATGCAGTAATCGAAGGAGCCACTTATACTGCTACAAATCGTTTTTATGAGTACGTTTTTAGTGGGTGTGGAAAAGCCTCACCTCATACACAGAATTGAAAATCAATTAAGGTTGATGATAAAATTCCAAATGTTAACTATAAAAATGAGCCTTATCGATTTCTAACCTTTGCAACTGTTGTTATCAAACCTTTATAGAATACATTATTCAAAGTTGAAATGTTTACTTTTAGCTTCTACTCGCTCTTGAAATTTTTCCATATTTTTATCAACATTTTGTCATTCTAATGTCAGAAAAATTCATGAATCTGACAAAAATAGGAAAATTCATCTATCTTTTCCTAATTGTGTGTCGATGGTGAAACTCCCAAACCGCATATCTCGGTTTGCAAAGTTGCAGACTTCCCATCATACTTCATTTATTTAAAAAAGAAATTCTCAAAGGCAATTTCCAAAAACCTCCGTAATTTTCCTTCTCGGTGCCAAATAAATCCTGAGAAAACTTTAAAGAATGGTGTTGATTTGTTCACCTTTTTAGGAATTGAAACTTTCTCATCTTTTTCTATTTAGAGTTACCGCTTTTTGTCACCTTGTGAATCATGAGGACATCAATCAATTTAAAGTTCAAACCTAGGAGCTAAATATCATTACTGTGTTAGATCATGTGAATTTTTTTGGCTTGCTTACCATTGTTCACGAAAGTCCTCTTTTTTTTTTTTTAATTGTTGCTTCAGAATTGGTGGTGATATCATTGGTATGTCTTGGGATCCACGCGGAAGGCATCTTGCTGTATCATTTGCAAGTTCTGACATAATTGCAGTATTTATAACTAATATCTCTCCAAAAATTCATTTGTCTCGATGGTAAGTGAAGTATTTCTCTATCTGCATCATATATTGAGTCTTATCTTCCGGCATATCACTCATCATCCTTAAAAAAAATCCTTCCAATCGATTTCCTTTATACTTAGTGAAAGCAAAACTGAGATCCATCCATTCACGGAGCAGAAGTTCGAGTTGACCATGAAGGCTCGCTCTAGCAAGTTTAAAACAGTTATTAGTAAAAGTTTATTTATGAATTTTATTTATTTTTCTTCATAGAGAAGATGAATTAAATTGCACTAACACACAATGGTTTTTTTTTTCCTCCTTTTTTCTGTAATTATTTTTTTTGTACCTGAATGCGGTTTCCTAATCAGTAATCAATGAGAAATTCAGAATCAGTTTCCCAATTTGTCTTTTTACTCATTTGTAATATTTAGCCGCATTTCCAGTGATCACTTTGCAGCCTCGCTTCAAGATATAATTGCTTATATCTGATAAAAAATTTAGGTTTAGTGAAAGTAGCTCAATAATTTCCTAATTATTGTTTTTTGTTTTTTCCTACAGCTGCTTGATCAAAGGTTACCCCTCTGAAATACCGAGCATTATAAGTTTCCAATCCAACTTTGCTGATGGAGCCAATCTTACCATCGTAAGTAAATATATTCCTCTCGCGCCTGAATGCCAATCTGGAAGTGGGAAGTTGCTCTTTCAACTGTTTTTAGAATGTGTCATTGGGCGTAATTTCAGAACAAGCAAAAACAGGAAAGCAAAAATTATGTCAATAATTTTGTCAAAATGAAGAAAAAGCTTACATGGACCTAAAAATTAGCGAATAAAAAACAAGCGTTTTCCTAAAGTCTTCTCAAAATTCTGAAGATATGAAAAATACTTTTTACATAATATGTTACATAATACGAGGAAAGGGAGAGGGCCTCACAGAGCTCAAGTTGTGTTTTTTCAAGATATTTGATGTTCGTCTGCTTGTAGCGGCTTTATCTTTCTACCTCAAAAAAACCATCCAGCCTAGCTTCATAAGTAGTCTTGAAAATGACAATAGTTTTGAAATGAAAATCTTTCACCCTTGATTAGCATTCTTTCTTTCATTTTTTCATCATTATTTTTTTCAGGGTTGGTCCAGTGGAAGAGTTCAATACTTCCCGTTTGTCTATGTAGATATTCAAAGTTCCTCCGCAGATCGGTTTGCAAACGAGTCAAAACGAAACCTCACAATAAACAAAACACCTCTCAGAGAGTCTCAACCCAGACCTTCCAGTTCTAATCACCGACATTTTTCCCAAAGCACATCAGACATAGGATTATTCTCTCCGTCAGCAACTGGCTATGAGGACAGTATCTTATTTTCTCCCTACAGAGGTTGAATGTAGCTCAGTGAGGCTGTAATGCTTGTGTGGCATTGATTGTTGATTATTAAAGGGACATTGTATGAAAAAACTCAACTCAAAAATCTTATAATGGAGGGGCTTGGAGGACTAGGCACACAGTTGCGATTTTCGAAAAAAAAAGAGATATTAGTGATTTCAACTACATCTAGGTTTGAAATAAATTCTGTGAAAAATTCCAGTAAAAACCCAGATAAAATCCAGTTTATGAGTTTGAACTTTCTTAATGTCATGAGGCTTCATATAATTTAGAAACTTCAAACACGTTTTTCTTGAAATAGGAAAAACTGCTTTCTTGCGCCTTGTTCTCCAAGTCCCTCAATGGAAGCAACATTCTTTATTTCTTAAGTATTAAGCACTAAACCTCAGATTATCTGAGGTAATGTGGCGGTCGGCCAGTTTGGAGTAGGGAAAATTCGTATAATGCTGGGGTCCCTACAACGAGCTTACTTTGACTTCTTGCATTCGTAAAATGTGATGAAGTATACACAAATTTGAAACAAAATGTGTTGTTAAATAAACAAGGATAAACTATACAAGTAAACAAATTACATACCTACTTTAAAAAATTTGCGTTTGCTCTGCCTGTTGAGAGAAAAGACGAAAATTAGTTTAGATTAGCCGGAGTTTGAACACATTATCCGAGTTCAGATAATTGGTGATTTAGCTTAAATTGCATTTTCAATCTTAGGTATCCTAAAAGTGATAAACTAATTTGCTCCCCTTTCTCTAGTCTATCACATTCTTGAATACCGCACTATTTTAAGCTCTCCTCAGAAATTATTTCCAAAAAGTTAGTATCGTTCCTTAGATAAAAATTAAAACCTGTAAAGCTGCAATTGTAATTATAATTCATCCTAAAAATGTTGTTTGAATCCAATCTTTCAATCATGACAAATAATTATTCCAACACAAGTTTTAAGAAGTCAAAAGTAAATTTGGTTCTGAATTTTATTCATATCCAAAAACAAGTTGACAGAAATATGCACTAATTTGAGATAGAATGAATTTTAAGACATTTTTATGTCTCCGGGCCTAAAAGAAAATTTACTCTTTTGAAACGATGTGGATAGTGCCTACTTCATGACTCCTTGGTATGAGATAAATACTGCAGGTTTACACTAATTTTTTAATTTTTATTTTTTGAATTTAGAACAAGTATATCATTGCTGTCATTCTTGTTTGTATTATGAAACAATTTTTAATTATGTAATAAATGTGATATTTTCATACTAAAGGATTCTGTATAGTTTGTTGCGATAAATTAAATTTTCTCAAGGTCACTAACTCACTACTTAATTTTCCCCAATAATGTAATTTTGCCAACATCAGTCGTAGAGTCACAAAGTCTCAGCAGACTAATCATTGAAATTAATGAACAAAGCAACAGACAAAAAAGACACAGGGAAAATGGATTCTATTGGCTAAAAGGTGTAGTTCTTACAGACCAAGGGGGAAAACGATTAACTAACTGTGGAGTCGGTTGTCGTTAGTTAGTCTATTACCTACCTCTTTTGTCCATTGTAACCACTAGCCTCCACCAATAGGATCGCTCTATTTTTCCTTTGTCTTCCTTGTCTATTGCTTTGTTTGCCTACTTCAATAACTAGCCCTCAGATCTCCCACAAATCGAGATCTTCTCTGCCATAAACCAAATAATTTTTACAACGAATTGCTCTATCATTTGAAGGCATGATCACCTTTGAAAAATTGCCAATTGTTATGGCATTATCATTCTGAAAATACTAAATATCAATGGCTAAGGTGCAACATTTTGTATCTCTCATTGGGACACTGCAGATTTCCTGTCGTACTCAATTTTTTCTTCAGAAAACTAGTCACTACAATTTCCTAAAAACTTCCTTGATTTTTCTTCCCTATTATCACAATATTCTGCATAAATTTCAAACCATTAAGTTGACTTGTTTATTATTGAAAAAATAAAATAGGAGTGGAGATTTTGTTAACACCACAATAGAGATACGTGGTCTAGCTCTTTGGCCATTGATTTGAGTTCCATTGTTTTTTTTGAAGTGTAACTTTTTTCCTTCTTGTAAGAAAATTGTAAGGTTCTGATCTGAAGATCTGAGGCTCAACAGTTTCCTGATCTGCTGTTGATGCAAGGCTCTTTTAGGGAACCCTCAAGAACTCCAAAATGCTCTCGAAGGAGTGAACAGACTCAGTCTTTTATTTAGTCCAAAGGGCGTCTTAAGCTTATCATTACGAAATAATCCAAATTTACAAACTGTATAACTTTTTAAGTAAAAACAGATTTTTTTTGCCTAATTTTGCCCAAAATTATGGTAATGGAAGGGGGGGGGGGATTCTCAGCATGAAGTAATTCAAGAAGGACTTCTAGCTTTTCACCTTAAATGTGACAGCACCATGGGTGTGAGGTGAGGGGATTGTAAAAAATGGAAAATTATGTTACAAAGTACTTGAATATAGCATTGAACAAATTATCTGAATCCACTATAGTGCAACCAAGTTTCCATTACGCAGTAATCATTATAGAGAGATAAAATGGTTTACTGTGTAAAATAAACCCTTCTGTTTTTACAGGAAGTGGAGCAAAAATATATAAAATTTTTCGAAACTCCAACCCTACCATAGCCAATATATCCGTTTATTTTTTCATTTCCAAGTTAGTACAGCGATCTTGAGAACACAGGATAAAAACAGAATGAAATACGGGAGAAAAATACGATATCATCCGTAATCTTGAGAACACAGGATGAAAACGGAATGAAATACAGGAGAAAAATTCGGTATCATCTGGAATGGATGGAAACAATATTAGCAGATTCCCTTGCTGAGGAATTTTTTGTAGCGCGTGTTGCCGCTTCATGTGACTGAAGGCGTTTTTAACGATTGCCTCTTGCCATCGTTCAGAATAACGCTCAACGCACATTCAGATGGCGAAAATGTCCTCTTTCAACTAAGTTTCGTATATTTTACTTTTCTTTTCCGTTCATCGCGTGCAGAAAAAATCCACCTACAATTATTATCTCAATAATTCTGTTTGAGAAAACATCAATGAACCGAGATCAGCACCGACTTCGTCAATGGGTGCAATGAGGACAAACGACATTTTTCTTCTCCTCTATCTATATAATTCTTCCTCTAATTTTTAGAATCCCCTAGTTTTGGCTTACACCGTTTTTGTTTCACAATATCGAAATCAAATCAAAATAAAGAATATTCTGGTGCTCCTTTGTCTCCGAGACAACTTACCTCAATGCGTATGAGGTTGCCGTGTCGAAGGCGCATCTTCCACTTCGAAGTATACTTTCTCTGTCCCCGCCCTTTGTGGATTGGTATGGAAGTGTGGAGTCTACAGAAATCATTAGTCTGTTGTAACAAAAGTTGATATCCATCATCCATTATTATGTATCGTGTATTTTTTATTGAGAAAAGTAACAAAATGAAGGACTGCCCATCGAACTGCGTGCTCATACGCGAAGAATTCATTTCCCGTAACTTGTGATATTGTAGCCCGCGTTCTCTAGTGCTCCTCTTATTTCCATAATGTGCTTAGAAATTTCACTGAAATTGAATGTTCCTTCCTCCACTACTTACTCATTCGTAATGCTAGACTGAAGTCTCGATCAAATTAGTTTACCTTGTCATTGAAGTATGCTAGTTCAGTGGAAGACTAGTTTTTTATCACAAATTATCGTCCAGCTTCCGCGTAGCCGCTCTGTACACCTTCTCAAAATTTTTTATACTTAAGTCCAAATCAAGGCCCCCCCTGATGTCATCTTTGTTTGCCTGTTACTCAGATCCTTGTGTTAACTTAATCATCACCTCAACTTGTGCTCAATGTGTCGTTTAATATTAAATTTACTCGGATCCTAGCATACTCAAATTTACATCTGCTCCACAAATAATTCACAATATTCTATGTTTCCGTGAGTCCCATAATGAGGACATTTTTGCCTGTTCTGACTACCCGTCTGTTTTGCAAGAAAAGTGTCTGCTGACAGCACTTCCATATTTTACTTTATGTTAGTCTACCATGGCTACAGTAGATCTATCATTATGGCTGTTGTTACTTATATATATCTGCGTCCAAGTTAGTCACTCCCTTGAGTACACATCCCAGTGGGCTGCGTCAATCGAAGGAGGTCCTGAAAAAGCTGCTGAGATCGCAATGAAACATGATTTTGTAATTCTGGGCCAGGTAATATATTTTAATCCATCCTCTGAAAATCTTTTCTATTCATCTATTGATCAGTTTTGATAGTTCGCATGTACAATGGAACTGCTCTCAGGCACACTGCATGATATAGTTATTCATTACCATTGTTTCAGAACGGATTGTAGCGCAGCGCTCTTTGTAGATGAATCATTAGTCTCCAGACTCAAGTAGTCCTCAAGTAGTTTTATATTGTACTTTTCAAGCTTTGTTAATGATGCAATTTCAACTCAAAGCAGGACAACAGTTTAGTATGCGGACCTGTAGCAACGCAGGGCACCTTTCCAATTATATCAGTTGGTGTCTGGGCTGTTACGTTAGAATCTTTCAGGCTCTGACAGTTGTGAAATTTCAGAGCAACTTGTATTTTAATCTAGTCAACACATAGACGGAGCAAAGTGCAAGAGATGATCAAATGGGGCGTGGGAGTAGATTGTGGCAGGTCCAAGTTGTGGGAATTTTTTTTTAACATGGAATATTTTAGAGTCCGTACACATCAGAGCACTGATAGTCACTTTTTGGAGCAGTGATATCCAGCTCTCTCAAGACGAGTGTGCGGATATGCTGCATTCAAGGGTTCTCAGCTTCTGGCTCCCCTCAAAGTGAATAGGTGATAAATGTATTGCTCGCAAACCGGGAGTTCACTAAATATTTTGATGGTCACCATTATTTTCCAAAATTTGCAAGAATAATTATTGATCTAAACTATTAAATGCTGAAAAACACTCGCAGTCCTCGATTTCTCTGTAAACCTCAAAAAAGAATCACATGGTTTTAGTTGGTTCGCAGTTTTGCAAACAACAGGCTGAGAATGTACCCTTCAAAAATTGACCTCAGCGGCGTTCTAGCGCATACCTGAGTGTTGAGTTGTACCTTCATGTACAGAGATTCTTGTTTTTTCTGAAACTTGCAAACAAAAATTGTTTGATATCTCGATGTTTTTCTTTGTTGGCAAGAATCTTCAATTGAAATTTGAAATAATATGATACCTTAGGTTGCAGCCGTACCTACGTATAGTAGTAAACACTCTATATTTCCTTATGAATTGTTTCTTCAAATCGAGGGATAATATCAAAGGATTGGCAAAGAATTGCTTTACAGGGTGTCCTGAACTCTCATTGCATCTGCAGCTCGCCTGAATTTTTTTTTAATTATTTCCTCTCAGCTTCGTCAAAAAATTGGTGCATTTATGACTTGCTTCACTGAACAGCTATGGAAGATTGTTCTCTCTTAGTAATGAGTCAGGTGTAAGCTCGTTTATAAGATATTGTTCAAGGTTATTGTTGAAATCATGAGCAAGTCAGTAAATTTAAGGTTTCATTTCATATAAAATTGCAGAAGTGGTCGGGGGGTGGGGGGGTGGTGGTGGTTGGAAAGGTATTCTGGATGAGTTTTGGATAGAAAGGACACTATTAGTGCAGCTAGTGCAGCCACAGAAATCTTTCCTTTTGGACAAGGCATAAGGGCCACTCAGAGAGTTTCTATCATGAAGAGGGCTGCTGTCAGGTTATATCCCTAAGGTTTGGAAGCAGTTCCAAAAGGTTCCTTATCTCAACGAGGGCAGCTAACCACACAACCCCCCCAGGCGAAATCTGCTTGCGAATAATTTTTGCTCTTTAGTGAATTGAAGTGATATTAATGGAGGAATGAGATCTCAATTTGGACGTTCGTAGTTTTTTTGGGGTAATTTCTAGGTGAGGTGTACAGGAGAGCCTTATGAAGGGCAGTTTGGGAAATGGCAGGAAGGCTTCCCTCCAAAGAGTCTGGGGGCACTGGCACTCCCCCTGCTGCAAGCTGTTCCTTTAGAAATTATTAAAAATTTGGACTTAATTTGGACTAAAAATCAGGAGCAACTACTTATTCTGCACTTTCTCAGACTCCCTGATCTGGAGCCCCCCCCCCCCCCCCCCCCCCCCCCCCCCCNGACGCACCCCTAGTGTCGTCCATGATCCAAACGTCTCTTTTTTTTCCCTTCATTTTGTTCAGTTGGTGAATCACACCAGCTGGTCAATCAGCCGGAGTCTAGTTTTTCCTAACTTTTTTATTGTGTGAAGAAAGTCTGGGAATCTTAAAAGACTAAACTTATACAACTTTACTTAGATCGAGTTTAAAAATACCGCTCATGTAATTGGATGAATTACCCAGACATATGTGATTGAAATGTTAAGGAAGAGCGCCGTATAAGTGTCCAAATGTTGCCAAATCCACCACGATATAATGTCAATTTTCATTTTTGAATATTTTGCCCGGAAATTTTTAGGAACACCAGATTGAATCGCTTGCACGTACATACTGAATTCTCTGTAAAATTCGATGAAAAAGATCCCTACATTTTCCGTGAATTTTATGTTCCATCAGGTGGAATTAGCCAACGCTCGTAGATACGTAGGTTTTTTTAATCCCAACCCAACGGTATAATAACATACTATCTCCTCCTTAATTTCTCTCGACTGAACCTATTTTTTCCGTCGCGGCGACCGAAGGCGCTTTTCAGCGAGCGTCTCGCGGCGGTAGCGCGGGTTTTTCCCCGTCACGTCCCAAATTTTTCGGTCTCCGATCGCCTCCTTAAAGCGAGTTTTGCGACGCGTGCCCTTCGGTGACTCGACGGATTTCGATTTTCTTTCGTGATCCTCATCGCTTCATTGTCTCATTTAGTCATTTAATGCGGGATTCGATAGCGTTTGCTCCATGCGTAGAAAGTACCGCGGCACGACAAGACGGGACGGACCAACGCTATAGAAGCGCGGCCTCAAGGTACGCTTCCACAAACAGTGCGCGGCGCGGTTTGGAGCGCCCGACCGACAATGAGTGCAATGAGCCTATATTGAGGCCGAGTTTTTTCGGTCCTTCCATCGTGCTTATATAAACTTAGGACGAGTCTCGATAGCACTTGTGTCCGGCTTAGCGAATTAAATCGATTTTTTTTATTCGTGTAACCGAACTTCTTTCATCAGTTGTTCTAAGCTCTCAAGTTAGGTTATACCAGAGATAAGAGACCATTCCCTGGCCTCCTGGCGTCAGGTCAGAGACAAGAGACCCTCCACTCGTATCTCGGCTATGGTGGAAGCTTTTGCTTTCGGGACTTCAACATTAAACTGTTGACTTACCTACATAGTTGATGTCTATCAAGGTGTTTGCAGTTTCGTTGTGCAAACGAGCCGAAGTTTGGGAAACTTCTTCGGATTATGACGTCATCCGAAGCTCATCATCTACCATGTAGGTAGGTCAACAGCAGAAAAAAGAGTGATGACTGTTGCTCCCTTATAATTGTCCATAAGGAAGGGTTGAATCCCCGAAAGTAATAGGTAGAAAGTAAAGGCGCTTTCGCTCCAATCAACTTATCTACTCATGCGTTAAAGTCTCTGAGTCAGTCGCAAAGAACTCACGTCCTCCTTCATTTTGTGGATATGCAATTTTATCTTCTTGGAAGTAGAAATAGTTGTATCTCGCGTTCCAACTCCAATGGGTCTTCGCCCATCCAACTTTTCTACTCTGCGTTAAAATCTCCGAGCCGCCCTGCGTAAAAATCGAATTACAGCGGACAGTAAAAGTGCGCCCGTGAGCATCATATGTATAGGGCGCCTTCAAAATGGTGATATACTTCAAATACTACCCTGTTACATAAATTATTTGATTTGTAAATCGCCTTTAAGGCCTCGATACACGAATCAAATCCCGGTCAAAGTAGAATATTTGTTCATTGTTGGCTACAATGCACATTCTTCTTGATCAAGATTGGATCGACAATCCTCATCTCTGTTACCAATTTTGTGCTTTAAATGGGGGAGGGGGGTTGAAATTTCTTCTTATTGTTGCGGAGTGCGACATAAAGTTAGCGCGTCCAACTTGGCGTCGCATCTCGGCAGTGAAACCGCGGCCTCAGCCGGATCGGGGAAAGTTATCCGCGAACCGCCTGCGCGCTGCGCCCGCGCGCTCCTGAGCATTGCCCGTCCCGTCGCGTCTGCGCTTGCGCGGTCTTCGTCCATGCTCAATCAATTTCGGAGTGCTAATTTTCATGTTTCTCCGAGACAACTCAAATTAAGCTGCCAGAAAATGAATCGCTGCTCCGTTCGGATCATTGCCTCGCCATTGTCACGGCGAATGTATTTTACGGATTATTTTTCAGCCTCCTCGCTTTTTCGGACACACTCCTCGAATCTCATTCGAACGGATGTAATCAGATCAACTGCGTTTCCTCTGTTATTGTTGTTTTTTTTTACTACTAATCAACGCACCCCCTTGAAATTTTCTGCGACTGCCACTCAAATTTCGACGAATACAGTCACACAAGTTCAAGTCAGTGTGTTGGATTGAGAGGAAATCCGTCCTCGGACCAATATTGAAATTGATAGACAAAGCGATAGACAAAGAAGACATAGGGAGTATGGAGCGATCCCATTGGTTGCAACTGGTGGTTCTTACAGACTGAGAGGGAAAATGATGGACTAACCGTCGGGTATCTTGTCGGTTGCCGTTAGTTAGTCTATTACTTACCTCCTTTGTCTATTGCAACCATCCGCTTCCACCAATAGGACCTCACCATATCCCTTATCTCTTCTTTGTCTATAGCTTTGTCTATCAATTTTAATAATCGGCCCGCAATAAACTCAGGGCATGTATCGTTGTCCCCCGCACGAAGGAACGTAACTCTACTCCAAGGTTGCAAAATTGGCTCAAACAATTCAATTTTTTACAAGAATAGACCTGAATTCGTCAAAAATTTGTCTGATTTTAGCGTGAGGTCAGAAGAATAATTAGTGAAATTTTCAGTTAGAAATCCTCGAAATTCTCCTCTTGAAAGTGCAATTTGCGCGGGAAAATCTGTCAACATCAAAATGTAGTTCCGTTGCGTTCTTTCGCGAGAGGAACGACGGCATATCTATGAGTCTTTAAACCGTTTGAGGACACCGTAGTCAGTCGTAACGAATCAGGTGGTTGTTAAAGACCAAAAGGGATTATGATGAGCTGTAGCTACAGAGTCTCTC